AGCTTAGATTGAACATTTCATAGCCCCTTTTCAACAGAATCTCCTCCAGCCCAGCAATCCTGCGGTGCAATAGAGTGGGTGTGAGATTTCTGACGGTGTGAAGGTCAGCGGCAGGTTAATAGAGCATCATTTTTGTTTGGTAAGTGAATTATCAGTGCTGTGCAATAAGTCACTGCATGGGGACTCATTTTACTAACGCATATCAAACAGTCAGAATGACCTCTGACCTTTATAAGGCCTGGTACTTGTTTGAGGAAAGGTCATTTAGCTGCTGAGCAACTGCCATTAGCTTTCTGGCTTCAGGTTTTATAAATCATCTAGGGTTGTAAGTAACAGAGTTCAACAATAACGTCCCAATTTTTTCAAGTCGTCTTGATTTTCAACATTCATGTGTCTCCATGAGCATTAAAATGATGGAACTGAATCAGTATTATGTAACTATTGGCTATTAGTCATTATCTTTATGTATAAAATAGTTTATTTGAAGTTTATTGCAAAATATTTCATCTTAACATATATTAGTTGACTGAATGGGAGATCAAATTACATACAGAATACTATAATGTTGTGAAACACCTTGAGATGTGTCTTTAAAGTCGTATGTTATCGCTAACAGTTAATGTCATTTTAAATTTCAAAGTCCACCATTGCACTCTGGAGATTTTAGGGCAAACGGAAGGAGACCATTAGGAGATAAACAGGTAAGTTTCAAAAAGTTTATTCACAGGATTAGCAGTAGATATGAGAGGCAGGCAAGTGACAGGTAAGCAGTTCAAATGAAGATCAGTTCAATAGACTTAGCTTGAAACTAACAGCTCCTTGGCCCTTTTCTTTGCAGGAAACAGATGAAGATGACCGAAGACAGATGATGACTGGGGAAATGCAGGTAAGTACGTCAGGTAAGTGGCTGTAGTAACAACAACATGTAGGGGTTACCACAGACGAGACCAGACAAGGGCGACTGCTTTCATACCGTAGGTGATGAGGTGAATGGTGGCAGGTGTGCTGATTGGGGATCAGGTGCAGGTATGAAGCAGGCGGGATGCTGGGAAATGGAGTCCTTAATGTGGTAAGGTGACTGAGCTGGTGACTAGCTGGCGATTGGGATTGTGACTGGGCTGGTGACCTTGTGACATAGTGACTGATTAAAAAAGGTTTATCATGTTGTGTTTGGGGTTGATCAGATATCAGAGCACTCTGCACGTTTGTGCATCAGTCTCTGTACAACCAGGATGACAACAGAAAATGAATAATGCTGCATCAAACCGCAGACAGAGATACAATCAGAGCTCTGGGATTCTTTGTTACCTTTGAGATACTGCAGATTGTTTTGTTGTGCAGCTTTGTGCAACACTTCAACACCTTCCACACAACTGTCACAGAAGATGCTGAGAAACTCGTTTTTACACACCCAAGAGATGTGAACCAGTGTTTATGTAGTCTTAGCGCTGTGTTTGGACGAATTATGTGAACTTTTGTTTGGAGCTCTGTTACCTGCTCCCTGCATTAGTGAATGTGAGAATGGTTTCTTTTACATTATTATGTAAAATAAATTAAAAATATTTATGTGCTTATCAGATATGCAAATTTGTGACTGGCCATGTGATTTTCTTGCTTCCATTGATACACAAGATCACAAAGTTGGTTAAAATGATGATTAGATGTAAAATAAATGCCTAAATAAATGTATATACCATTCAAAGGTTTGGAGTCGATGAGATTTTTTTTGCATGTCTTTGAAAGAAGTCTCTTATGCTCACAAAGACTGCATTTGTTTGATTACAAATACAGTAAAAACAGTAATATTTTGAAATATTATAATTTAAAATAACTTTTGCAATTAATTTTATATATTTTAAAAGATAATTTATTCTTGAGATACAAAGCTGAATTTTTAGCAGTCATTTCTCCAGTCTTCAGTGCCTCCTGATGCTTCAAAAATCACCTTAAGTTAATTTGGTCTTCAAGATTTTTTTTTTATTATTATCAATGTTGAAAGCTGTGGATACTACTACTATAAAGTTCAAACGAACAGCATTTATTTGAAATCGAAATCTTTTATGACATGTCTTTACTGTCACTTTTGAACAATTTAATGCACGCTTGCTTTCAAAAACAGGTAATGACCTCATATTTTTTAATGGTATAGTATATATATTCCATGTTTTCTCCCAATTACTACATGGACATAAAATGCACTAAAACTGCATTTCAGATTATTAGAGATGATGTATAGCGACAGGACACTGCCATCACTGCTTGAAATGTCATGTCAAGTACCCATTTTCTGTTAAAATGACTTATTAGCAGTCTGAGCTTCGGTCCCGGCCTCATGAATATTAATATTACCACCCCGACATGCAAACAAAGTAATGTTTGTTCTTGCCTGATGAATAATTCACTTGGTCTTAGAAGTGGCCACAGGTGTGCGAGTATGTGCTCAAAGGCGAAAGAAAAGCTTTTTTAAAATCACGATTTATACCAGGGGGTCAGACTGTACCCGTTTCCTCCTGAGGTGAAATCCTTTGTGTAAAAGCATAAAACTCTGTTATATAATCTCATGCTGATATGATCTCAGCAGCCATTCTACAAAAGCACCCCGGCCCAAAACATGACGTATAATGTCATCAAAGTATAGAAGAAAAGTTCAAGTATGCTTAATCTCAAATGTGTGGCTTGTTTTGGTTGACATGAGTGATTTCATACTCTGAAATACACAGAATACGGTTAAATGGATTGAGTGGGTCAAGTTTCACATTGTGGGGTACAAATGTGGAAGGTGTTCAGCTTTATGGATTGTAATACTGTACGCTTGGTCTCAGTCATCTCAGTCATCATTCACATGGATATATGAAGGTCACAGGAATTGTGAGATGACTGCGAGTGGGTGGAGAAGACCACACAGGTTGTACATGATATTGGAGAAACCTTGGAAGGATGTCTTTTTATTATCTGAAATCACATGATCTCATTCATGTTGTTTCTGCAGCCATTAAGATAAGACTGTTTCAGAAACATCGACTGCTATTGAGATGCACGGCAATGTCCCTCTCAGGTTTTATAGGCATCCTCCCTGCATACAGTAGATGCAGGGTGCTTAGGTATGAAAGACATTGCTTCTGCTCATGTAGACAGAATGACTTCAGCAGTACAGGCAGAGCTGTCCAGTCCTGAGTGGAAATGTTTTCAGAGAGAAAGGCTCATTTAGCAGAACAGAGGGAGGCCGTGACATCAGCAGACTGAGACAAAAATATCTGGCAGCTGCGAAAGGCTTGGTGCCTGAATCGCACTTTTCACAGCAGTTTTGATCAAATCCTCCTGCAGATACACATATACTCAAGTAGATCTACATTTAAGATGTGAATTTCATCTTTCATTCACTGAAAAAGTGGCGTTTTAACAATACAGAAGGCATATATCATTAAGAAATTATTAAAAATGCTTTCTTACACATTTATATACAAATATATATTTAAATATATTTAGTTATTATATATATATATATATATATATATATATATATATATATATATATATAACAATTTTAATAAGTACCTGCTCTTTTCCAGTATGTTTAATTATTATATTTGTTTTAATAAAATTCTAATTACTAATGCAGTTTTATTATGGCCGGACATGATACTGTCATTAAAGACACAGTAAATCTTATTCCCAATATGGGAGGCTATAGATTAATTTCTCAGTAACAATATCTAAACGGCTGTTTAGTCAGCATCCCATCCGAATGAATTTAGAGCCTGTGAAGATGATGATGATCGCTTCATTACCTCAACACATTGGTCAGTCTATTTCACGGCCGTGATTTTCATTAGCTCAGCAGACTGTTTTTCAACAGCAGTGCTGCCTGGCTGAAATCTCTTGCTGAGTGTATAAGCAAGGAGTTACAAGCATTAAAAAAAACACAGACTGTCTTGCCAAATATACAGTACAGGATGTAAAATAGAGCCAGGAGAACCTGATGTTGTTTCTACATTCTGTTTTCATTGTTGTTTTTGTTGTAGTTAAGGAGATGTACAGTGGCTTTGGACAATTTGTTGAAAATTTGCTTAAAAATGTACTCACCCTCAGGCCATCCCAGATGTAGACATGTAAAAATATGAGTCCTCTATCCATAATATTGCTTTCTCCAGTGAAAAATTTGTCTTGTCTGAATCTGGAGAAAAAAATGCACAGATCACACATTGTGTACATTGAAAACAGTCCAAAATCGTTCTAAACAAACACGCTGGTGGAATTTGATGTGAAAGGACACTAGGAGACAAACTTTTTCACTTAAGGAAAATGTATGTATTTTGGCCAGAACTGTCAGTTTAAAGTTGAAACGCCTCAATAATGGACTTGTTTTATGCAAACATACAGCTTTTCACTTCACAAGATGTTAACTGATGGACTAGAGTCATGTGGGTTACTTGTGGATTATTGTGATGTTTTTATCAGCTGTTTGGACTCTGATTCTGACGGCACCCATTCACTGAAGAGGATCCATTGGTGAGCAAGTGATGTAATGCTACATTTCTCCAAATCTGTTCTGATGAACAAACAAACTCATCTACATCTTGGATGGCCTGAGGGTGAGTATGTTTTAATAAAATTTTAATTTTTAGGTAACGATTCCTTTAAATCCCTTAAATTGTATAAATGTCATTGCAATAGACATAACAAAATATCAAATCAAGTAGCATCTGCAAATAAATGATTTTCTAAATAGTTAGACCAAACTACACATACCTTTTTTCTAAATAACCCATGAAATCAAAATGGGAAATTTAAAACCCAACAAAGTTTCCCTTAAAAAAACATTGCTATTGTTTTAACCAATTTAGCCCACTTGCACTCACTCTACCTCCCCCCAACCTTCCAAATGTCTGTATCCCCCAGGGTTATGTTTATATTAGAACTTGTACTCGTTACATTAAGACGATAATCATGTATCTGATGTACTTCTCTTCTGCCTCTCCGCACACGAAAGCAGCTGCTCTAAATAAGCCCAATGCTACTGGATGAACGCCAGGCTGCTGTCCAAAGTGTCCAGGCGCGCTGAGGTTGACTGGAGCTGTCCGCGGTGCTGAAGCTCCACCGCGCAATCCGCTTAGAACAGTCTGTGAGTCGAGCTCTCTCTGCGTTACTGCCGGAGCTCTGCGCGATTCCCCGGGAAAGACGCGAGTAGCCCATATGCTTACAAGACCGTACGGACGTTTTATTTGACATTCGAGTCATTCTCACGGCATCGTTTAACACAAGGACAAATTGTAGTGTGTTCTGAAGAGTCGTTTCAGTATGTGCGCAAGGATCGAGCTCCAAAAGATCTGGCTCCTTTTGCTGCTCATTCTGAGTCTTTCAGTGATTTACACGCGTTGTCAAGGTGAGTATTTATTTTTAAGTACTTAAATCTACTAATGCTGCTGTATGTAATGGAGTTAGATAGGCTATTCATCTTGGGCACAATGACTAACTGGGTTTGTACTGTCTGTGGCTTTACACGTAAAGGATTTCTCCACATACACACACACACACTTTACAGGACACTTTGTGCTATTTCAGATTTTCAATACACTCATTCTGTGTGATTTATAAGCGTTTTGAAAAGTGGGGACATGGGGTAATGTCCTGAAAAGTCACCTTCTCCTTGTAATACTATGTCATACCTTTGTCATTATACAAATTGATGTCCTCATTTGTCACAAAAACGCGCGCGCACACACACACACACACACACATATATGCCATTTAAGTACAATAACAAATTACGAATATATGTTGAGGCAGTTTAGGATATATTCAGAGATTTACTTTTGACGCGTCGTTTAACTGAAATATCGCAGGACTGCATGTACTTCATCTGTAGACTGTTGTGAGAAAGTAAGGGGCCGTTCATATTGACGCGATATTGCGTTAAAAGCAGACGCAGAGCTACAAAGTTGGGGTCTCAAGACGCGTTTTCACATTTGAAACTTCAAAACTCGTTATGCGACACAACTGCAGGAGTGTCTCTCTTACAAATAACAACTTGAACCGAAACCCCCCAAATAAGTAGGCCTATGCCTTTTTATTTTTTAGTTAAACTATGTATTCATTTATTGCAAAATATATAAGTTTCAGCAAACACAAAAGTACAAGTGTGTCTTGGCAGCACTTTTTTTGAACACAAATAGACGCTAGTGAAAAAAGTCGCCTTTAATCTGTGGTGGTAACCATAGAAACAGTAAGCTTCACTATGATGCGATATCGTACGGAATGTTAACAAAACACGACGAGAACTTATATCACTTCACTATTATATATTTAAAGTCTTTTGGATAATTGACGCCCATAGCTAACTATTTGCGTTGCTGAACTGTATCATATTCCGCTTCGAAAATGAGATATTATAGCCTACCGAGTCACTAGCCTTAATGTGAACCATTTCACAAGTCAAATATTTGAGTGTTACAACGGGACAGAATGAGTGTGCTGTGAGTCTCAGCAGCACAAGATAATGACACTAATCCTGAAAATCAGATTAGCACAGTCCCGAACAGAGCTGTTTTTGAAACTAGCAGAGTTGTGTTGTTTTTACCAGTTTAATAACAATCTATATCTCAGCATATTCAGGTCATTTGAACAGGTACGCATAGACTGCAGATGGCAGTTTATATATATATATATATATATATATATATATATATATATATATATATATATATATAATAAAAAAGACGTGTAAGAAAAAAA